AAAAAAAAAAAAGGGGGGGTGAGCTTTACTGTTTGTAAATTATACCTCAATAAATCTGAGTCAATGAGGCAGTTTAGATGTTAGCATCCGGCACACTGGATGGTAAAGAGAGGTTTGCTCTCGGTCATAGCTAGAACCAAAAAGCGTTGTTTCAAGAAACAGATTCTGTTCACAGTACATAAAACTATGCCAGGTGGAACCCTTTTGGGTTTCCAGAGCCATTCTATCCTCAGTGTTACAGTCCCTTCTAACTGGTTTCGGTCTGCTGAGGCCTCCTTATGCATTCTTCACCGCCCCCCACCTCATGTATTTTTAAAACAGTAATTACACAAAACAAAAATGCTGGATTTCTCAAATTGAGTTAGGACCTAAAGATGAGAAGACAAGAGACTAACAAAAAGCCTGTAATGAGCTCAGTATTAACCATTCAGTAGAAAGGCCAGGAACTCAATATATGGAACTCTTTCCCACTGCTGTATCGGGTGCCATCTTTCTCTCCCCTATCACTCTGGCTGCATCTATATGGTTTCTCTCAACAAGAAAGCTCCTGAGCAAACAATGTGGGGATAAGCAGCTACTCTCTTCTCATGAGCCACCTCAGCCACCTCTCACCTCTGTGATCAATATCATCAGTATCACTATCTGCTTCTTCATCCTCTTCATCCAAAGTTCCCCGAGTCAGGATCAAGTCAGAAGGGTCAAGTGCAGGAGATAAGCTGTCTACGGAGAAAACACCTGTCAGTAGCATGTCATGAACCTATGTCTCCCCGAAAGGTGATTTTGATTCAGTAACTATGATTATAAATTAGCAGGATGAAAATGCTCATGATAAATATAAATGCTGACTCTTACCTCTTCTAAATGTATTATTGTTTTAATACCACTTAACATTTTACAGTAGTGTAGTTCACAAAATGCTTTCAGGATCCCAGTAACCCAAAAGGTGCTATTTTTAAGCTGAGGAAAATAATTCTCAGGTATCTTGTCCTGGTAGTAACATCATTCGTTTTAGTAGCTCACAGCTTAGAAGAGGCTATAGTTTTTCCTATGAAGACTAAAGGTATCTGAGCAGATGCAGTGTGTGATGAGTCAGCGTAAAAGTGTAGAGTACTAAGGAATATTCCTGGTGGAAATTTAAGTTCTGAGGGTCTGAAGAGAATAGATGGTGAAATGACAGAGAGTAAAGGAGCCAGGATATTATTCAAGAAAAAGAGGGAGGGAGGAAAATGGGAAATTGAATATACTAATAGAGGCAAATTCCCTACTCGGAAACTGAACAAGGGCTAAGTGCCAATCAAAGTCGAATCACTTCATTTCTGTGCAGGGAATTCAGACTGCAAGGGTTGGACTCAGAACCTAAAGCGATGCCCAGTATCCTGGAGCCGCGGGAGGACATGACCACTCTCTTCAGGAGCCTAGTTGGAGAGAAGTCAGCTGGGGATGGAGGAGGCCAACAGTGGTAACATCAAGGGGCGCAAATCTCAAGGGGACTGTGGCCCTGAAGAAGGATGGTGACATGGCGTGCTAACAGTCAGTGCTTAAGTCTGTGCCCAGCTATACTTGTGATTTTCCCCAAATAATTTACTGCAAGTCCCCAACCTTTAACAGGTTATCTGAGTATGGAAGACCTTTTGCAGCAGATTTAACATGTGCTACTTCACATATTCTTGAGTGATGAGCACAGAAATTTATGTCACTGGGGTGCACAACAAAGACAGCCAGGTGAGTTCACATAACTGGTAAACCCCGTCAGTTTCTAGCATCTCCCCGCTCCAAGTGGCTTTGCTGTTGTCTACTAAAGATACAGCAAAAGCTGTCGTGAACAGAACTTCATTCCTTTAAAGGCCAGTCCATCCATAAGTGTGGGTGGGTGGGGGCGCATAGATACTAAATATGAGCACCAACCTAGAAACCCCTAAGAATCAATGACAAAATTAATTCAAACAATAAGAAAATTCAGGGGCACCTGGGTGGCTCAGTCGGTTGAGCAACCGATTCTTGGTTTCGGCTCAGGTCATGATCTCATGGGTCACAGGATCGAGCCCCACACTGGGCTCCTCACTCAGCACACAGTCTGCTTCCAATTCTTTCTCTCTTCCTCATCCTCCCCCTCTGCCGCTCCCACCCTGCACGTGTACTCTCTCTCAAATAAATAAATCTTTAAAAAATATTAAAAAACAAAGAAATTCAGTAAAGTAGCAAAATAAAAAGACTAATATATGGAAATGAAAAGCCTTCATATACACAAACATAACCAGTTAGAAGATACAGTGGTTCAGAAAATCCCATTTTCAACACTAACAAAGAAGATAAAATACTTGGAAAATTTTAACAAAAACTATGCAAAAACCACAAGGGAAAACTCCTGAAAAATACAAAAATACACTTAAAAATATAAACATATTCCTTATCCTTGGATAGAGAGATTCAACATGAGTCTGCAGTTCACCCTATATTAACATACATAATGCAATACCAATAAAAATACCAAAAAGTTTTTTTAGCAAACTAAATAAGTTGATGCTAAAGTTCATGTGGAAAAACAAACATGCAAGAATAGCCACGGAAACACTAAAAAAGAAAAATATGAAAAGGGACTAGCCATGGCAGACATTAAAACATTCTATAAAGGAAGGGGCGCCTGGGTGGCTCAGTCGTTAAGCGTCTGCCTTCGGCTCAGGTCATGATCCCAGGGTCCTGTGATTGAGCCCCGCATCGGGCTTCCTGCTCCGTGGGAAGCCTGCTTCTCCCTTTCCCACTCGCCCTGCTTGTGTTCCCTCTCTCGCTGTGTCTCTCTCTGTCAAATAAATAAATAAAATTTAAAAAAAAAACATTCTATAAAGGCCCTACGTAATTATAACAGTGTGGTACAGACAAATAGTCCAGAAGAATAAAATGGCAAGTCCAAAAATACACCCAAGTACACATGGAACTTTAGTATACCATGTAGGTAGCATCTCAGATCGCTGGGGCAAAGGTAGACTTTTTGAGAAACCGTGCAGGTACAACTTTATGAAAAAGGTAACACAGACTTATACTTTACACCATACCCAGGAATAAACTCTAAATGGATCAGGGATCTAAATGCAGAAAATGAGGGGCACCTGGGTGGCTCAGTTGGTTAAGCCCCTGACTCTTGGTTTCGGCTCAGGTCATGATCTCAGGGTCATGAGATCAAGGCTCACTTTGGGCTTCGTGCTTAGTGCAGAGCCTGCTGGAGATTCTTTCCCCTCCCTCTCCTTCCCCCTCTGTTCCTCCCCTCTGCTGGGATAACTGGCACATTCTCTCTCTCAAATAAATAAATAAAAATCTTTAAATGTAGGGCGCCTGGGTGGCTCAGTTGGTTAAGCGACTGCCTTCAGCTCAGGTCATGATCCTGGAGTCCCGGGATCGAGCCCCACATCGGGCTCCCTGCTCAGCGGGGGGTCTGCTTATCCCTCTGACCCTCTTCCCTCTCATGCTCTCTGTCTCCCATTCTCTCCCTCAGATAAATAAATAAAA